ACTTAATTGGTCGTAAACAGTATACGACCGTCAATGGTTATATATCTGATGCTCATCAAACCCTCTTTGCTTGGAGTACCCCAAGGCTCTGTACTGGGACCCTTGCTTTTTCTCTTGTATATAAATGATATATAAGTCTTCAAATAAACTTCAGTTTTACTTGTTCGCCGATGATACTAGTTTAATTTATGCAAACGGCGATTTAAAAAAAACTTGAATCTGAGATTAACGAAGAACTTAACAAAGTTTCATCGTGGCTAGCCTCCAATAAATTAACCTTGAACATCGAAAAAACTAATTATATTATCTTTCGCTCACACCAAAAGACTATTCCTTTTTATCCTGGTATTACAATGGTAAAGAGCAATTCAAAAACCAGTCAACTGTTACAAATGAAAGGGTACATTAGATATCTTGGTGTACTCATTGATTCGAATCTTTCATGGAAAATTCATGTAGGTTACATTTGTCAGAAAATCAGTAAAACAATCGGAAATATCGCCAAGCTCAGACATTTTGTTTCCCGTCATGTACTTCTCACTTTATACCGCTCTTTAATCTTACCCTATATCAGCTATGGTATTTTTGCTTGGGGTCACACTGCTGAAGCGCATCTTCATAAACTACTAGTTCTTCAGAAGAGAGCCCTTAGGCTAATGTTCTTCGCTTATCCAAGAGCTCATGCAGTTCCGTTATTCTTACAAACTAAACAGTTGCCGATATCATTCTTTTGCTTTGAGCAAATGAGCCTTTTAATATACGACGTACACAATAATCTCGTTCCTGATAACAGTAACAATATGTTCACGAAGCTGGCTTCTGTCCACAGTTACCAGACTAGATCTGTTACCAATAAAAATTATTATGTTGAACAAGTTAGAACTGAAAATATGAAGAGAGCCTTCTCTATTTCTGGCACCTTGATCTGGAACAGTATTCCACTTCCAATCAAAACACTTAAAAAAAACCAATTTAGAAGCGCAATAAAGGAAAAACTCTTTGAAATTCTGAAAAAAAGAGGATGATTATATAAGAATTGCTGATATTAGAGTACAATTCTCAAAATTAGAACTGTTTGTACTTCCAGTATACTACATTCTGCCCTCTTGTTTCATTCTGTCTATAAGCCACACAGCAAACTAGATTTCTTTTAGGATTGTTCGTCTATATATTATAATTATACATATAAATATTCATTTTATATAGAATTCTTTTCTTTTTTTTATTTTACTCTCTTGTGCCTGCCTCAAATAGCCCTAGCTACTTGCAGGCCCAAGCATTGTAATTTTCTTATTAAGCTTAAATAAATCTGTTGCTTGTTGTTGAGGCAATCGGTGGCAGCGAATGCAGAGGGATATATATACACAAGTTAGCTAGGTTATCGGTCTTTTCCTTCCTTTTCTTTTTAATTTTTAGTCGGCTTTTTTCCTCCTTTCATTGCCACGGGAATATTTGGAATATTAACAATCAAAATTTCGCCACCGCGAACAAAAAACAACGGTTAGTCAAATCTCCATAAGTTGTCATTGCTACTGTTGTCTTTTATTATACGGCTGTGTCTCACAAGGACTGGGAAATACCGAATTCACGAATTTGATTGGCTGAAATCAATATTGAAAGCGGTCTAGATCTTCCCATCTAGACCGGCATCTAGACCGGTCTAGAAAAAAAAGGTACAAAGAATTTAAAAATTGGCATATAAGACACAGCCATATAATGAACATCCGAGCTATGTCGGTCTGTATGGGAGAATCTTGACCTCGGTCGCTAGAACAGACCTCGCTGCGTTCGGTCTGTTCTGGCGACCTCCGTCAAGATTCTCCCATACAGACCTCTCGCTCGGTTAATAAGAACTAATTCATGGGGGGTCCGTAAAGGGGGGTCCGTAGAGGGTCCGTGGACCGGTCTGTACAGGGGTCCGTGGACCAGGTCAGTATAGGGTCCATGGACTGGGGATCAGCGTTTTCGGGTTACCCAACCGAGACCTTGATTATTCCGGATATCACAAAAAGTGAATCCAATAATTGTTTTATTATACATCGTTTTAAAGAAAATAACGCCAAACGCATTATCGCAGCGAACACAGTTTATTTTGAAAATGTACAACTGTGTGGTAAACAAATTTTCACTTGGGCTCATTCCTTTTTGTCGTGTGGCTCGATAAGGTCGCATTTCTTCACAATGGAGAGCGAGCCGAATTAACCGCTGAACTTTGAAAGCCCCAAACGAGCGATTTTGAGGCTTCATGGCAGAAAAAAACACCTCCAAACAAGCAATGAACTATTAATCTCTATTTAGAGCTGATTTTTTTTGAAGACTGACAACTAGGGACAGATTCTAGAGGCAATATATATTTAACTACATTCGTAACGGCTATATAAATGCCACAGGAACCCATTACCATAGAAACCCGATTTCACAGATATTTAAGATGGTAAGCCTGTGACTTGACATTGCTTCACCGAAAATCATACATTGCGCGCGCAACCTACAGATTATTCACTAACCTGTAGGTACAGATTAGTGAATAATCTGTAGGATGCGCTTTTTCCCAGAATTAACTGTGAGCGTTTAGCCAATGAGAAGACAGATGGTGACTAGAATGTATAATAACACAAGTTGTCGCACTCTCATCCCCAGTTTCCACGGTTTACGCAAGGAACGCCTGGGACCATGACCCCCCCTTTTGGTGACCAAGAACGACTTGCATTTTAAGACTCGGGCTTTCCTACGGAAGCCCGAGTAAAAGCCTTCCATAAATCGTTATGCTCAACAGGGGTGTGGTGTCATGTCACGCCATGTATACATCAGTAGTCGTGTGATAAATATTAATAATGATGATTAATAATGATGACCAAATGTGATTGAATTAATGCCTGATCACGTGTACGTTTAGATCAACAACTTGACTTTAGTAGCCTACAAGTAGCCGTACCCTCCCCTCCCCCCGCCTAAAGGAGAAACGGAGGAGGGGGAACGGTCATATGTAAACTATGATTGCATTCGATCAGAATTTTAGCTGAGCGCGAAAAT